TAAACAAATATGCTTTTCGACAACACAGGTTGCATAAAGTATTTCCCTAATCAAAATCAATTTTCTCGGTAGTTTTCCCTCGGCAAACATACACAGTTTATTCCTGCAACTCATGTTTAAGTGAGCTCCTATGACTTTCATTTGTACCTTGTTTTTTTTTTGTTTGTTTAAAATGCATTCTTGGTTAATGGAGCCTTTAGAAACTTTCCTCAACGCAACTCTGTGTCAGTGGGGCTTGACTCTTGCATTCTTCAGAACTGAGCGCCTCTCAGTTAAGCTCCATTTATTCAGCTTCTCAGGTATGCCAGAGGCAACCCTGCTACGTGAAGGACCATGTCCTGAAGTGAACTAAACAAAGGCCTAGTTAGGAAGGTAACGTGGTAATAAAACATACGTAAGATGAAAAATCACTCAGCTTTCCATAAAAACCACCACCAATTAGTCACATGAATAGTGGGGTTTAAAAATAAATTATAATTAAATTTTTTGCTTTTCTGAGCCCACAGAAAATTTATCTTAGTCTGTCCCTGGGGCCTCATATAAGTGTGTGCATCAAAATCACCTGGAAGAGCTTTCAATCACAGACTGTTGTACTACACTCTCCCGGTTTCTGATTCAGTGGTTCAGGGTGGGAACAGATAATTTGCACTTCCAACAAGTTTTCAAGTGATGTGGATGCTGCTGGACAGAACAACACTTCCAAACGCTACTCATCTATGAAAGCTGTACTACACATTTTCATAACTTCCCCCTACTTTTCTGCTGTCCCACAGAGAAAAGGAGTCAAATTCTCATCCCAGCACTACTTCCCATGGTTTTCTTGTAGGAAAAAAAAATTGAAAAGCTTTAAAAGCAAGAAAAAAGTGATGTTAGGAGTAACCAAGCCTGGGTTTTCAGCTTCTACTCATTTTTAAGTGGAATGAAGGTTTTATCTTGGTCAAGAGGACATTAGTATCCTTAAGAAAAAGATGGTGGTATCACAATCCTGATCTCATACTGTACTTCAAAGCTAAAGTAATCAAAATATCATGGTATTGACAGAAAAACATACACAGATCAATGAAACAGAATTGAGAGCTCAGAAATAAGTCCACCCATATATGGACAGTTAATTTACAACAAAGGAGCGAAGAACATACAATGGAGAAAGGATAGTCTCTTCAATAAATGGTACTGGGAAAACTGAACAGCCACATACAAAAGAACGAAAATAGACCATTATCTTACATCATACACAAAACTCAGCTTTAAAGACTTGCATGTAAAACCTGAAATCATAAAACTCCTCGAAAAGACACAGACATTACACTCTTTGACACTGGTCTTAGCAGTATCTTTCTAGAAATGTCTCTTCGGGGAAAAGAAACGAAAACAAAAATAAATTTCCAGTATTCTTGCCTGGAGAATCCCATGGACAGAGGAGCCTGGCAGGCTACAGTCCATGAAGTTAAACGAGTTGGACACGACCTAGCAACTAAACCACATCAAACTAAACTGATTTTGCACAGCAAAGGAAACCATCAACACCAAGAAAAGACAACCTCCAACAGGAGAAGATATTTGCAAATCAAGTATCAAATAAGGCATTAACATCCAAAATATGTAAAGAACTCATAAAACTCCACAACAAAAAGCCTGATTCAAAAATGGGCAGAGGATCTGAACAGACATTTTTCCAAGGAAGACATACAGAAGACCAACAGGCATATGAAAAGATGTTCGACATCACTAATTATTAGGGAAATCGAAACCCATGAGATATCACCTCCCACCCATTAGAATGGATACAAAAACAACAATCACTGGCAAGGATGTGGAGAAAAGGGAACCCTCATGCACTGTTGGTGGGAAAGTAAACTGGTGCAGCCACTGTGGAAAACAGCATGAAGTGACGTGAAATCACTCAGTCGTGTCTGACTCCTTGCGACCCCACCGACTGTAGCCCACCAGGCCCCTCCGTCCATGGGATTTTCCAGGCAAGAATACTGGAGTGGGTTGCCATTTCCTTCTCTGGAAAATAGTATGGAGGTTCCTCAAAAAATTAAAAATATGTATGTGTCGATCCAATCTTCCAATATATCTGTTTCCCCCACCCTTTACACCCCATAACCGTAAGTTTATTTTCTACATCTGTAACTCTATTTTAGTTTTTAAGAATATGTATATGTTTAAAAGTTCATGTGTAGCCTTTTTTCAGTTTCCACGTGTAAGTGACATCATGTGATATTTATCTTTCTCTGCCGGACTTACTTCACTCAGTATGAGACTCTCTAGGTCCATTCATGTTGCTGCAAATGGCATATATATAAAATAGATAACTAATAAGGGACACGACTGAGCAACTGAACTGAATGGAACTGAATAAGGGCCTACCGTATGGCACAAGGAGCTCTACCCAGTACCCTGTAATGGCTTATGGGGGAAAGAATCTAAAAAAGGGTGGATATATATATTTGTATAATAGATTCACTTTACTGTACAGCTGAAACTAACAATGAAAAGGGCTTTTTTAGGTGCTAGTTCTAGAAGGTCTTGTAGGTCTTCATAGAACCGTTCAGCTTCTTCAGCATCATTGGTCAGGGCACAGACTTTGATATTGAATGGCTTGCCTTGGAAATGAGCAGAGATCATTCTGTCGTTTTTGAGACTGCATCCAAGTACCACATTTCAGACTGTTGACTATGATGGCTACTCCATTTCTTCTAAGGGATTCTTGCCCACGTAGTAGACATAATGGTCACCTGAGTTAAATTCACCCATTCCTGCCTATTTTAGTTCGCTGATTCCTAAAATGTTGACATTCACTCTTGCCATCTCCTGTGTGACCACTTCCAATTTGCCTTGATTCATGGACCTAACATTCCAGGTTCCTATGCAGTATGGCTCTTTATAGCATCAGACCTTACTTCCATCACCAGTCACATCCACAGCTGGGTGTTGTTTTTGCTTTGGCTCTGTCCCTTCATTCTTTCTGGAGTTAGTTCTCCGCTGATCTCTGGTAGCATACTTGGCACCTACCCACCTGGGGAGTTCATCTTTCAGTGTCCTATCTTTTTGTCTTTTCATACAGTTCATGGGGTTCTCAAGGCAAGAATACTGAAGTGGTCTGCCATTCGCTTCTCCAGTGGACCACATTCTGTCAGACCTCTCCACTACAACCTGTCCATCTTGGGTGGCCCCACACAGCATGCCTCATAGTTTCACTGAGTTAGACAAGGCTGTGATCCATGTGATCGGATTGGTTAGTTTTCCATGATTGTGTTTTTCAGTCTGTCTGCCCTCTGATGGAGAAGGATAAGAGGCTTATGGAACCCTCCTGATGGGACAGACTGACTGTGGTGGAAACTGGGTCTTGCTCTGATGGGTGGGGCCACGCTCAGCAAATCTTTAACCGGATTTTCTGTTGAGGGGTGGAGCTGTGTTCCCTCCCTGTTATTTACTTAGGGCCAAACTACAGTGGAGGTAATGAAGGTAATGATGACCTCCTTCAAAGGATCCCATGCACACACTGCTACACTCAGTGCCCCCAACCCTGCAGCAGGCCAATGCCAACCCTCACCTCCGCCAGAGACTCCTGGACATTCATGGGCAAGTCTGGGTCAGTCTCTTGTGGAGTCATTGCTCCTTTCTCCCGGGTCCTGGTGCACACAAGGTTCTGTTTGTGCCCTCCAAGAGTCTATTTCCCAGTCCTGAGTAAGTTCTGGCAGCTCTATGGTGGGGTTAATGGTGACCTCCTCCAAAAGGGCTTATGCCATAGCCAAGTCTGCTGCAACCAGAGCCCCGTCCCTGTCCCAGTTGGCAGTCCACCACCGACCCATACCTCCACAGGAGATGCTCAAACACTCTTGAGAGTCCCTTGGACTGCAAGGAGATCCAACCAGTCCATCCTAAAGGAAATCGGTCCTGAATATTCATTGGAAGGACAGATGCTGAAGCTGAAACTCCAATACTTCAGCCACCCGATGCAAAGAGCTGATTCATTGGAAAAGACCCTGATACTGTGAAAGACTGAAGGCGGGAGGAGAAGGGGATGACAGATGATGAGAAGGTTGGATGGCATCAGCGACTCAATGGACATGAGTTTGAGTAAACTCCAGGAGTTGGTGATGGACATGGAGGCCTGGCGTGCTGCAGTCCATGGAGTCACAAAGAGTCAGACACAACTGAGCGACTGAACTGAACTGAAACTAACAATATTATAAATCAATTATACCTCAATAAAAAAAATTTTTAATTAAAAATAGAACAATTACATGATCCAGCTATTCTACTTCTATATATTTATCTGAAGAATATAAAAACACTGATTTGAAAAGACATATGCCCCCTATGTTCATTGCAGCATTATTTACAAAAAGCAAAGATATGGGAACAATCTAAGTGTTCATGAATGATGAATGGATGAAGATATGGGATATTATATAATACTACTCAGTCATAAAAAAATAAGATGCAATATTGCCATTTGCTACAACAGGGATGGACCTTGAGGGGATTACGTTAAATGAAATAAGAGAAAGACAAATATTATATGATTTCACTCATATATGGAATATAAAACAAAATAAACAAGCAAAACATACACACAGATACCGAGAACATATTAGTGATTACCAGAAGAGAAGTGGGGTGGGGGAGGGCAAAATGGATAAAGGGGATTAACCATATGGCAGTGAATGGAAACTAAACTTCTGGAAGTGTATACAGAAGCTTAAATATAATGTTGAATATATGAAACTTACATAATGTTATAAACCAATGTTACCTTAATAAAGAAAGAAAAAGAAAGTTGTTAGTGCCTCTCAGAAAATAAGAACTCAACTGAAATCATAATTGAACTATCTAACACTAAAAAGTGATTCTCTTTCACTTGAAAAATACCCATAAAATAAATACTTGACCCCATCAAAATAAAATGACAGAAAAAAATGACAATTGCCACACACACTGATTTTTCTATTTTTTATTTTATTTTTCAGCACACTTAAGAGTCTAAACAATCTAAAGGCAGACTGTGGTGCTTAAATTGGTCCTTTTCTTTCTTTTCTTCTTTTACTTAAGGTATTGACAAAGAGCAAGGTATCATAAGCTGGGCATAATCTGACTATGTGTGCAGCGCTGATGGGTAAGTCATGTGAGGCTCTAAATGAGCTTCTTACCTGCTCTAAACCTGACAAATTCCAAAGAGGTTAGGGTTACGTTGATAAAAACATTTATAAGAACAAATTAATATTTGAAGAGGTACCAGCTGTAGATTTCTGCTTATTTTCCAGTTCTAAAAAGTAAAGATTAAAAATAAAATTAAGGCACTACTCAGTAAATATTTTAAACATTTACAATATTTTAAATATGTTAAGTAAATAAAATAAATATTAACTTTCTCAGAGATTTCAGAACATTGATTTCTAAAGTACACACTAAACTATTTGTGCTTGATTTGCTCCTTTCCCACACACAAATAAACAAACTTAACTAGTTAGCCAGGGCATGTTGCTGTGTGTGCTGTGCTTAGTCGCTCAGTCACGCCCGACTCTTTGTGACCCCAAGGACTGCAGCCCACCAGGCTCCTCTCTCCACGGGAGTCTCCAGGCAAGAATCCTGGAGTGGGCTGCCATTCCTTTCTCCAGGGGATCTTCCCGACCCAGGGATCGAACCCAGGTCTTCTGCACTGCAGGTGGATTCTTTACTGCCTGAGGCACCAGTGAAGCCCTGAGAAGGGTATACTCAGCACTAAATAAAATTCAAATGATAAAAGATTACCTAGGCTTTTATCCAAAGATATTATTGTATTGCCTAGTTGTAAAGTATCTGAGATGAAGGCGAAAAAATGATGCAGAATCCACACAAACCTGATTCTGATCTACAGAGATGTTAAACTGATCAATAAACAGAGACTAACTGAACACTTCAATACACATCTTAGTTTGACCCAGCATCCATTTCTCATGGAAATTAATCTTCCTAATACTCTGTTTATTGTCTGCAATGTTCATTAAGATTTTTATGGGCTGGCTTTCAGGCAAGTTGACCTATATATATATGACTTAAGTTTTTGTACTTACAATATCTCTCATGTTACTTCTAAATGTACAAATAAGGAATTTTAGAACATATACACTAAGTTGGTATACATGTTCTAACCACTTCAATTCAGTTCAGTTCAGTCATTCAGTCATATCCGACCCTGCAGCCCCATGGACTGCAGCAGACAGGCCTCCCTATCCATCACCAACTCCCGGAGTTGTTTACTCAAACTCATATCCATTGAGTCGGGGATGCCATCGAATCATCTCATCCTCTGTTGTACCCTTCTCCTCCCACCTTCAATCTTTCACAGCATCAGGGTCTTTTCAAAAGAGTCAATTCTTCACATCAGGTGGCCAAAGTATTGACTACTTAGTGTACATGTCCTGACCACTAAATTTGAAATAATGGCAACCTCAAAACTTACCATTTATATGCTTTATAAACAACTTCTGAAGTCAACACAGCTCTCAGTGAGAGAGTCCAAAACAGAGTCAAAGTTTAATTGGTTGATAATGCTGCTTAGTTTTATCATTAACCAACCCACTGGGCTATCATTATCACAATCCACAGTAAGAGATTTCATTACTGTTCTGTTCACTGTTGCATAAAAGAACACCCGGGCCTATTTAAAGGTTAAAGCACCTAAATACAGCTATTAATCTACCCTCAAGAGAGTAATAACCTTTCAATCTTGGTGATAAATCAATGAAGAGCCAAAGGCTCAGAGAATATATGGCACTATTCTAATGATAAAGTATTTTGCATGAGGGTGAAAATTGGAATCTCTATAAATCTGACTTATTTCCTAGAAGTTTATGTGATCAACCAGGAAACATGACTGAAATTCCCTAATGGGAATCTTATTTTTTGTCTCTCAGCATCCATTTCCCACCTGCTGGCGCAAAAGCCCACCTCTTCCTTTAAGGAACTACCCGTTCTCCAATCTCAGTGCAAATGTTACAAAAGAGAGAGGGCGACTGATCCCACTACCACAACCATGTAAGCACATGACCCAGGAGCTTCCAAGGAAACCAGTAATCATCAGCCCCAAAGCTTTCCCTGAGTCTGTTGAGAGAGGGAAGCTCTCCCTCCACGGCCAGAAGGCGCAACTGAGAGACTCTAACCTGAGAGCAAGGGCTCCCCGAGGGGCTCAGTGGTAAAGGTCCACCTACAGAGCAGGAGCCACAGGAGATGCAGGTTCGATCCCTCGGTCAGGAAGATCCCCAGGAGGAGGGCATGGCAACCCACTCCAGGATTCTTGCCTGGAGAATCCCATGGACAGAGGAGCCTGGTGGGCCACAGTCCATGCGGCACAGAGTCAGACACGACTGAAGCAACTTAGCATGCATGCACTCAATCTGAGAGAAAAGCCAAAACAAAGGAAACCAGGAGGACAAATTCTGGATGAATAAATTTGGATACCCAATCCAGCATGATTAAATATTCAACCAGACTTATCCCTAGACCTTCTTCACTACTTGAGTTAGTGTGTGAGGTGGGTTTCTTTTACTTGCAGCTAGGAGTTATGACAAATTACAAACAACTAAAAACCTGTACCCCATTAGGCAAAAGTATCAAAGATACAAAGATATATAAGAAACAATCCCTGCCTCTAAGAATCTTTCACCAACTAGTTGGAAATGTAAGACATAAACACAAAAAAATAACTAGAAACATTAGGCTCAACCCAATGATGTGTTCTGCATGGGTACAGAGAAAGGACAGATCACCATAGGCTGCATATGAAGCAAGACTTCACAATATAGCAAAACAGTGAACTAGGGTTTTAAGGATGTCTAGGATGTGGCTACCTGGAGAAGATACAAAAAGACATTTATTAATAGAAAAGGTTAACTATGAGAGCAGTAATTCAAGAATGTGCATTTTGTATTGGGGAAACAATATACTCTACATATAAACAATAAACAGATCATAAAATGTTGACTCACGGGACATCAACAATAAATATTAGTCCAAAGATAAAAAGAATTCATAAGTAGTTGTACAGTATCAGACACATTATGTATAATAATTCAAATCTACTCTATATGAGATCAAATCGATTAATTAGATTATAATGGTTAAATGTTAAAATGGTACTTAAAGAACTAATGACAAAAGCTGAAAAATAAATGTGGCCTTTCCATATACATAATAGATAACCCTCTCATCTAACAAGCTATTCCTGTCGACTACTGTAACACATCTCATCCAGAACTAAAGGCTATCAAAATATACCATGCTACATGCACTTCACTCAGCTTCTGTTTAAGAAACCAGGACAAAGAGCAGAGCCATTAACCAAGAGGAGGAGGTTAAAGAAAGACAAACACAAACCGAGGAAGCAAGCGTGGCCGTAGAGCGATCCGGCTCTCTCTGTCCAGTGCCTCCATGGGTGAAACGTTCATAACAGAAGCTATTAAAATCATTTTCTATTTCCACTGTGGTTTCAGTCATTCTCCCTCATGTCTTTAAGAAATTGCATGAGCAGAATTTGACTTGGCACTTGCTGCAAGCAGGAATGCAAGATGTCTGTGTTCCTCATTCCTCATTCTTGAGGGTCTTATTGTTTAATTAGAATACAATATTTTATTTAAATTTTTTAGTATCTTATTTTACCAAAAGCCATTATCAGCTTTGTATTGAACAACTTGTGGTTATTCTCTGAGTTAATAATTACTGTTTATGACATCATATCTCTCATGGCTGTTAATTGTTTCCTGGAAATTTTACAGAGAAAAATGGACTCAATATAATTCCTCAGTAATATACTTTTCCATCTAAAGTCATTGAACTCAGTAATGCTTACATGAGAAAAGAAAGTCTCTAATACCTTGACTCTTGATATCCATTTAAGTTTCTATTTCCATTTGTGGCACCAGTATGACATATATTTCTACTTGTATAACATACATCCATTTGAAATAAGCATTTACAAAGGAATTATGACACACACTTATAGTAGACATGTCTTCAAAAACCTCAGTTAATAAAACCTCGTAACTCTATCAAAGATAAATACTACTTTGTTGTTTATAGTTAGAAATTGAAACACTAAAACATCCTTTTTATCAATTCAAAGTCAGAGAAGAAGAAAAGGAGTTGGTTTATGATTTTATATCTTTTTAGCAAAAAGCTTTAAAATGTGAAATTCTATACTAAAGTCCAATTTTCACTCTTTAGTCTCTACAGTGAAACGCATTATTTCACAAAGGAAATAAACATGATTATAATCCTCTCTGTATTTTAAGGAAAAGAAGTCTTACACTTTAAGTTTGAAAATGCATGCTTACTAAGTTTTATATTTGTTGAATGGTGGAATTGAGAGTTGTTTTTAAAATATGCCTGAGTGACAACTACCATATTTTAAGCTATAAGAAATCGAAAATTATCAAAATATTATATATTTATGTCATACAGTATAAAGCAAAGCTTTGGATAAAGTTTTAGTATTTCATGAAGCACAAGGACTAGGAAAGAAGAGACAGATGTCTTCCTTTTTTCTCAGGAAAAGGTATCACAGTAGGCAGGAAAAAGGCTCCCCTGAAATAACCAGGTCTTAAACTCTGGAACCTGTGACTACATATGTTATCTTACATGGAAAAAGAGACTTTGCAGGTGTGATAAAATTAAGGCTCTTCAAAAAAAAAAAAAAAAAGAAAGAAAGAAAGAAAAGATTAAAAGGATCTCAAGATGGGGAGGTTAGCCTGAGTTATCCAGGTGGACCCAATTTCATCATAAGGACCACTGAAAGTGGAAGAGGGAGGCAAAAGAGAAAGTCCAAGTGACGTGGTCTGAGAAGGAGTAGATATGCCAAAACTGGCTTTGAGGATGGAGGGAGGAGACCATGAGCCAAGGAATGTAGGTAGCCACTAAACCCTGGAAAGAGTGAAAAAGTGGATTCTCTCCTGAAGACTCCAGAAAGAAGTGCAGTCCTCCTGACACTGATTTTAGCATAATAACACTCATATTGGACTTCCGACCTACTAAACTACAAGATAATACATTTTTGTTATTAAAACATCAAGATTATTAGAAATGTGTTACAGCAGCAACGGGAAACTAATACCAGTATCATGTTCTGAATGAGCAGGACCATGAAAAGCATGACTGTGACAGCCACTCTTCCCATTAAGGAATCAAGGCACTCTGGAGCTAGAAGAGATTTTGAATCTAATCACTTCATTGTACAGATGAGAAAACTGGTCCAGATACAATGAGAAGGAAGGTGACTTACCTTAGGCCTCA